TACTTGCTATACTCATATAGACTAGTTCCATGAAATATACTTGGCACACCTCAGTGAAATACTGGCTGATTGGCTGACACAGGTGTTTAATACAAAAGGCCCTTAAGATGAAGATGATATTGATATTAAACAAACATGCAGAATCACAAAACATTCTTAGCTTGTTTGCCAGGAGGAAAATAGGACACACAAGTGGGAAATTTGGTGTTTCTGGATCACACAGTCTTAGCCATGGCAAAGAAGATCAGTCAGCCTCCTCAACTCAGTACAATTCAGACATGGCCATCAGGTAGGGGCTATAGTGAGAAATGTGTTAAAACCCACACTTACATATGCACATATGCAATAGAAGCTACGTGTTTAAGATTCCAGAAACTGTTTAAGAAATACGATGTTGGAATGTTGATTGGATTTACATGTTGATGAAATTTCAGTGAAACTAGCCTAGTATCCTGCAAGATTACTGTGAAAAATTTAATTACACCGACCGCTCTTGTTCGGAACAGAGAACTGTCTGCTTTCTTTACATTAATCATATTTCTCTCCCCAGCTGCTACTGCAAGAACCAGAAAGACAGTACTTAAAAAGGAGGTCCTGGCCGGGCGTGGTGGGCCAGGCACAGTGGGCCAGGCACGGTGGCTGACGCCTGTAATCCCAGTACTTTGGGAGGCCAAGGCGGGCAGATCATGAGGTCAAGAGATCAAGACCATCCTGGCCAACATGGTGAAACCCTGTCTCTACTAAAATACAAAATTAGCTGGGCATGGTGGCGCACACCTGTAGTCCCAGCTACTCGGGAGGCTGAGGCAGGAGAATTGCTTGAGGCCAGGAGGTAGAGGTTGCAGTGAGCCAAGATCACGCCATTGCACTCCAGCCTGGCACCTAGCAGGTGCACCTAGCAATAGAGCAAAACTCTATCTCAAAAAAAAAAAAAAAAAAAAAAGGCGAGCCCTATCTGCAAAATCTACAAGTCAATCAGTGATGGTTCACATGCACATTAATTTCTACATTACGTCTTCCAAAGACAGACATTTGACAGATGTAAATCTTGCTTTAGCAAGGCCCAAAGGAAACATTTGTCATATCTGCAATGATCATTCTCGGTTAAATAAATCACAGAAAAACAGAATGAAATTGCAAACTCAGCTTACATCTATTCTCTCACATAATTTCTGTATCTTGAATCCAACTTTTTAACTATTAAATAAACATACATTCTCCACATAGGATAGAAAACTATAGCTGTGAACTTTTTTCTTGCTGAGTTACATATGACGCCTTAATCATTGATAGCAAATAGATGTACTATTTGCATAAGGTGAGGCTTTTTTGTCATATTTTCGGAAGAATCATCATTGTCCTCTTACTGTGAATCATCAAAGCCAAATAAAAAACAGCTTCTTCAATACCTAGCATATTTTCATTAGAAACAAATAATATGTGACACAAATTCTTTGGACAATAGTCAAGCAATTTAAAGATTTTCTAATATTTTTGTCAAAAGAATATACACTTGGATGTGTACTTTGCCTTTTCCATAAATATTCAAAATGTATTTTGAAATTAAAATAAAGTATTTTGATAAAATAAACACATTCACTTGGTCTTTTTTCTTTCATTTTCATTTAAAGCAGTAATCACAATATCACAAGATTCTTTGAATAAAAGTTCTTCTCTTGAAAAGGTAGATAATAGAAAGAATATCCAGCTGCTTGCCCCTAGATGGAGGGATAAAAAAGATTGATGGCAAACTTTCTGTAAATTAACTCTAGCTACAAATCTGCTGCAAATCAAAACAACCCCAAAACCTTCACAAAGGTTACGTGAATGCAGTAGCACATGTATCTGGGGGTCATGAGGCATCCACATATCACAATAAATTTATTCCCCACAACTCTTATTGTAAGTTGAACTATTAGGGAAAAATAAAGCAAATGCTCTCTAAATAAATACAGTGTCTTTAATTTCCTAGAAGCCATGCCCTCACTAATTATTTTTGTTCTTAATTTGAAGGGAAATAGATGTCTTAGAAGAAAACTCCTTTTAATGTTTTCAAATCATAATGTGATTTGTCACATAAGACAAATCATATTTTAAAAGATAGGAAAGAAATTAAAGGAGAGCTTAAGCTAACGTGGTGAATTTTAGAAAGGCAACAAAAACAGTTTATACCAAAGGTAAACAAAATGTATGCAAACTCAAGTGTGTCTTTTTTTTCTTAGATTATGTGCCCATTACTATGAAAATATCTAGGCAAAATGTATGAACTGTTAAACTGCGATAGAATTTGGCAATCTATACTAGTTCCCATTCTAATACTTCATTTAACATTATTGAAATCAGTATTTTGTTCCAGGGTATGTTATAATCATGATATTAACAGAATTTATTCAACAAAGTGACAACTTATTTTTATCTCAGGCTAGGATTGCTAGCATCCTCAACTTTAATTTTGTTTGATTTACTGTGTATATTGTATTATAACTAAGAAAGCTGCTCTGAGACACATAATCCTTATTGGTGTGTGTGTGTGTGTGTGTGTGTGTATATATATATATATATAAAACCTTTGTTTGGAAAGAAATCTGGCTGGGAAAAATATCTTGTTTGTGGAATTAAACAAAACATTAGCATTTCAAATAGTTTTGCCTTTGAAAACACCTTCTGCCACAACTAACTCAATAATAGGAAAAAGATCTTTGTTTAGACTTAAAGTGTATGTATGTGAAAGAGAGAGATAATTCAAGAAACAGATATTATATATTTCAGAAACTCATAATTTGGGAAAGAATATAAACATTGTTTGAACCTTTATCCCAAAGGCTATTTAATTGCACTTAGATGCTATTTCTGTTCCAAGTCAATTTCTTAGAAACTATTGTAATCTTATTCTAGTTTTCTATTTAATTTTATATACGTTATTTACTTTTGAACACAGGCTAACCTCAAAAAATTTTAGTCAGTGAAAGTTATAGTTAAAAAAAAAAAAACAAATCTGCAGGAACAGGAAGCAAGAACAGAAAAAAAAAGTTATAGTTTAGACCTATATTACCTACAATCTTACCACAAATATGCTCACAAAATGTTTGCCTTAGGACAGCTCTATAAGTAAGACTATCTTTGGGCTTAAACTCAATCGCCTTGGGTGATACTCAACAGGTGTGGATCTTTTGTTTTCCTTCAGCATGGCCCAATTTTACACAGAGACTTTGGTAGAACAACTTGTTCTTCTCATATCTTTTAGCTTCAGAATCCAGTCAATTCAATTAAGGAAATATAAGTGGGAGACCTTCAAAGGAGAACAAGTAATTAATGGGACCTGAATGTCTGAAACATATTAAGGCAACATTGGGCTTATGGCGAAACACCAGAGGCTGAAAAGAGCTGAAGATTTACTCTTTCGTCCTTCGCATCATCTCCCCCCACCTCCATTTTAATAGGTCCTTTTACAAACTAAATTGGTCTCGCTAATGCTTTGATAAGGCAAGTTACAGATATATTTTAATCGTTGTAAAAATGAATAATTCAAAGAAAGCGTAGACCAAGCAAATAGATTGTTGAGAACCCCTTAGCTTAGAGAAGAAAAAATAAACAGTGTTATTCTAATATCTATAAATGAGGTACTAAATGGATGATGTGTGATTACCAGTGTGATTAAATGGCAAAAACAGACACATGGAGAAGCTGAGTAGCATGCTGAGGCATTGTCTTTTTACCAAGTTAATATACTATGCACACTGTTTTCCATACAAGATTCTCAAGTAATAACTATAGGAAAGAAGATAACTCAAAAAATGGAATGCTTAGGTGGAGAGGCATACTGGAATGCATGAAGGTGTTTCATTATGTATGAGAACAGTCTCCATCTTCTGAAGAGTATCCAAAAAAGCAGACTGGAGGAAAAGCCACACCTTCAAGGTGCAAATCCAATTAAGCTGTCTTAAGATTCTGAGGAAGAATTTGCTCCTTGTCAGTTATTTCCAGACTGCAGCAGGTACATAATAAGATCAAGATATGATTAAAGAGACTTTTGTTTGTGCAAGAAGATAGTAACCATGCCACAGTTTTTAATCCTTGAAACTTAAAACATGCATTTAATTCTTTTTAATATGGACTTTAATGCATATTCTGATAGCATTCCAAGACATTTCCATTGACAAGTACATGCTATGAATTCAGAAGTCTTAATATACTTATGAATATATTATGTTGTACACACAAATGTTCATTGCAGCACTACTCACAATAGCAAAAACATGGAATCAACCTAAATGNAAAGAAAATGTGGTACATATACACCATGGAATATTATACAGTCATAAAAAAAGAACAAGATTATGTCCTTTGCAGGGACTTGGGTAGAGCTGGAAGGCATTATCCTCAGCCAACTAACTAAGGAACAGAAAACCAAATACCACAAGTTCTAGCTTATAAGTGAGAGCTAAGTGATGAGAACTCAGGAACACAAAGAGAACAGACAGACACTGGGGCCTACTCGAAGGTGGAGGGTGGGAGGAGGGAAAGAAGCAGAAAAACATGCTCTTGGGTACTAGGCTTAGTACGTGGGTGATGATCAGTACAAAAAAACCCTGTGACACGAGTTTACCTATGTAACAAACCTGCACATGTACCCCCAAACCTAAAATAAAAGGTAAAAAACATTACATTTTTAAAATTTAATAAAAAGACCAAAAAAAAATGTTGCCCCTCAGTTAAAAAAATGTGATGTGAGGCAAGAGATACTAGTTTACTGCTAATTCATAGATGAAGTTTGATGATTTATTTTCTGCAGCTGACTCTCACACTCAATTCTTATTGGGAAAAAAATGTGTATGTATGGGTCTTTGCTATGTTTGTTGAATATTATTTTTGTTGACTGTGTAAGGAACCATATATTGTAAAACTGCCATGCTTTTTAATAATGTGTTTTTATAGTTAAGGTGAATTCTTAGAAAAGCCCAATGATTAAAACTCTAATTATGTAACTGTTATTTTCATAGGAGGCTTATTGAGACTCACCTGAGAACCGTTCCAAGTCGTGCATTTTCTAATCTGCCCAATATTTCCAGAATGTAAGTGTTTTTTAATATAAAGAGAAGTTTGAAGTTTGCATTTGTGATATGTTATTCTCTAAATGTGTTCTATCAAGAAAAATACTTGGTATTATACTTACATAAATCAATGGCGGTTACATTTTCAACGTATATGACAATTTTGTGTACATAATTTTCAGTTGATTTTGCTATATCTCTACTCCCTAATGCCTAAATGATTTTTTAAAACCTAAATCAAATTTAAATTCATTTGGTTTTGAGAAGTTCATAATTCCTGATGTATTTTAATATATCTTGGGATGTGGCAAAACCTTAGCTGTAAATCTCTCCTATAAACCCCCCATTGTTTACAAGATAAACATACATACAGATAGACAAACATCCATCTGTCCTAGTCACCAATTTTCGAATCATCTTTCACTACTAATACAAATACTTACATTTTGTTATAAATGTAGCCAATGGTTTCAGACCTCTTTCACGTTAAAAGAGAATTAAATATAATTCTAAATCTTAAAAATTGAATTGCTATCCACTCAGAGTGAGGAGGAAAGGGACTTTTCCATACTGGGTTCACAAAAAGTGAATGAAATGAAGCAGGTCTTTATTTCATTTCATTGATTTTGACACACAATTCAGATAATTCAGGCATGCGAAATAACATACCCAGGAGCAACCTGTACAGCTTTTGGCTAAATGTACTCATTCCGTGGCCATTTTTTGAGTGTTTGTGTCATTTCAGTAGTTCTCAACCACAGGCAATTCTACCCCTAGAAGCATTTAGCATTTTTGGTTGTCATCACTGGAGAGGGGGTTGCTACTGGCACCTAGTGGGTGAAAGTGAAGGTTACTGCTAAACATTCTACAGTTTTCATAGGACAGTCCCACAACAGAATTATCCTGGAGGTCTTTCGTGAGTTTTCACATCACCCAGTAACTGACCCCATCATGACACTCATTGCTCTCTTAGGAATAAAACTGAACCTCTGTGAGGTTGACTGAGATATAGGAGACATTTTGTGTTAACACCTTGTGTTAATCCCATTTACCTTGTGTGTTAATCTATATCTCTGAGTACTGTGAGTTTCTTGAAGCTGGGGAACAGGTCTGTTTTGTCCTTGTCCAGAATGATGTCTGTCATACAATGAATGCTCAATACATATTTGTGGAATAAAAGCACATACGCATACCTGAATAATAATTAAAGATTTGATATATCTTGGGAAAAAGAAAGAGATAAATAAGATGATGCTAGGTTTGTCTGGGATGGTTCAAATTCCCACTTGGTATTCTGGCATAATTGTTAATAGAGCCTTGCTTTAACTCACAAAAATATCCCAGTTTGAAATAAGTCATATGGTGCCTGTAATGATGATGATATTTACATGCAAAAAAGAACTAGGATCTGATTTTTCCTAGTTATAAAAATGGGATAAGTAAACAGGGAATCACAATTTTTATCTCACTGAATAGACAATTTCTGTCAGTTATCTTCACAACCAAGCTACACAGCCCTTAAAAGAGGTGTCATTATGTTGGAGAAACTGGAACTTCCATTTGATATGGGTTGAGTGATGATCCTTCTGGAACTTTGAGAAAGACTCATACTTCTTAACTCAGAAATTCAGTAGAAGATTTGGAGCAATGGAAAAGATGCTTAGGGAAACAAGTTGGCAGCCTTCAAAAATAAATCTTGCTCTGATAGCTGGTTCAGTTTCATCTGTGATAAATCCCCACAGTCTCTATACAATAAATTAATTCTTTTCTATCTGTTCCATTGTTTTATGTTAGAAATATATTTGTATCAAAACAATTTATATAATGTTGTTATCAAAAGGGTTAAGAGACTGGGCAAATCAAAGGATAATTGTATAAAGAATAGGTAATTGAAAATAGAAAGTACAGGGCCATTAGAATACTCACAATAACCAAGATAAAAACTCAGAATGTAACAATCAGAGCTCCTCTTGTAAACACTGCATCAATGATGATATTCTACTGGCAGATTCAATTCAAACTATGGGCCAGTGGTTCTCAACATTGCCTCCACATTAGAATCAGCTAAGAAGCTTTTGAAAAACAAAAGTACTTGACTCATCCCTCATAAACTCTGATTCAATTATACTAAACCAGGTCTTAGACATCTGTGTATTTTAAAAGCCCTTCAGGTAGTTTAATTGCATGACCAGGGTTGAGAATTTCTGCTATTGCTATGGCTGGAAACCATCTGTCAATTGTTCATTTTCCCAAATGTCACAGAAATACCTCTCAACAGAAAGTGGTCATTGAATTTGGCTGCATTAGTCATTCTCATTACAAGATGGAATTTGAGAAAACTATTTGAAACATTCCTTATATGTTCTTGATAAATTATATTTAGGAACGTCTCTGTTTTCCTTTTTCAGTACTTGAAGCTTTTATTTGAATTACTTTTTTTGCTTACAAAGTTTAAAACAGAGCTTGAATTTTCAGCTTCATTTAAAATCAAGAAGAGAAGTCTTAAGAGAATATATAGTCACCCTGTGGAATGTTCCACTAGAGAATTGTGGCTTTCTCTTCATCTTCTTTCAAACATGTCTAATTCCATGTTATTAAACATTCTATTACAAATGCTTCTTATTCACTCTAGTGTTCTTTTCTGATGCTTGTGTTTTTCTGCTATTTTGCGAAACTCTTCCATTCATTCAGTCGTTTAATAAGAGTCTACTACATGTCAAGCACTCTGAAAGGCACTCAAGTTTCAATGGCCAAAAACAGATACAGTTCTTCATTTCAGAGAACTTACATCAGTGAGACAACATAAATATCACCCAAAGAACTGGAAATCTGCACTGTGATAATTAGTGAAAGGAGTTTATATATATATATATATATATATATACACATATGTATGGCAGATTCAATTCAAACTATAGGTCAGTGGTTCTCAACATTGCCTACACATTAGAATCAGCTAAGAAGTTTTGAAAAATAAAGGTACTTGACTCATCCTTCACTCTGATTTAATTATCCTAGACAAGGTCTTGGACATCTGTGTATTTTATTTTTATTTATTGATTTATTTATTGAGATGGAGTCTAGCTCTGTCACCAGGTTGGAGTGCAGTGGCATGATCTTGGCTCACTGCAACCTCTGCCTCCTGGGTTCAACTGATTCTCCTGCCTCAGCCTCCCAAATAGCTGGTACTACAGGTGCGTGCCACCACACTGAGCTAATTTTTGTATTTTTAGTAGAGACGGGGTTTCACCATGTTGGCCAGGATGGTCTTGATCTCTTGACCTTGTGATCCACCCGCCTCAGCTTCCCAAAGTGCTAGGATTATAGGTGTGAGCCACCGCACCCAGCCATATCTGCATATTTTAGAGGAAATAGACGAGTTCCTTTAAAATGGAAGAATTTAAAGTTTGTCAAAATAGCAAAAAATGCAACCATCAGAAAAGAACACTAGAGTGAATAAGAAGCATTTTTAATGGAATGCCTAATAACATGGAATTAGACACATAGTTTCAAAGAAGAAGAGAAAATTGCAATTCTCTAGTGGAATGTTTCACAGGGTGACACCATATGTGTGTGTATATATATATATATATATATCCCTATATATGTGTGTGTGTGTATCTATATATATATTTCCCTATATATATATATATCCCTAGATATATATATATATATATACTTAATATATATGAGATTAAGTATATATATGAAATTAAGATAAGAGTTGATATACAGAAAGAATTCAGGTATCACAGGATCTGAAATAAAAAGTAGTAAGTAATTTTAACATAATTTGGCAGAATCCATGAGGGTTGTACAAGTTTCATAATCTGGAAAACCCATAACAATAAGTTATGTCAAAAATAGTATGTTTGAAGTTTACAACCCTACTAACTTTCTACTTTGTCTTATGTTTTTCTGACATTCAGCTACATATCTATAGACGCAACTCTGCAGCAGCTGGAATCACACTCCTTCTACAATTTGAGTAAAGTGACTCACATGTAAGTACAAGGAAAAGTGCAGCATAGACCTAAGCCACAACCACTCTTGACTGATAATCTTGGGGCTCCAGATGGCAATGGGAGCTGGTTTCTAGATTATAAGTCAAAACTTCTGTTTATGATTAAATCATTAACCTGTTCTCATTCTTAGCTTATGTTAATTCATCCTCATTCAACCTCAATTCCATGGTTGGAAGTTAAAGACAACATTAAAAGGTCTGTTCTTGAACTGCTATCTGTTCTATTACTACTGTGTCAGCATATTTTATTGATGTGAATGTCAGTGAGACAGCAAGTATTTACTGAGTTCCTACTTGATTCTATGGTCTGTGCAAGATTCTACAAAGCTGACATATTTTCCATAATTCAGAAAGAAAAGAGTTGCTTAGTGAGATTAGAAGAGTAGGGAATTTAACTCCCTACTTCTGGAGTTGGTCAGAGTTGGATTTGAACACTGGCATTTCTGCCTACTCATTATCATTGGACAAGTTATGTAATCTTTCCTAGCCTCATTAACAAAATAAGTGTAATAAGAGCTCCAAATTTGTTTATCATAAATATTGAATGATATAATATCTAGCACATGAAAACCAGTCAGTAAGCCTCAGAATAATTTTTATATTTCTCTAGGAGAGTGCAATCTATAAAAAGTGTTACATAAATAGCCACACTGCATTATTTTAAGCAGCTATGCATTACTAAACATTAACTCTATTTTCTTGATGAAGAAACAAAAATGTTTATCTATAAATATTTTGTATATTCTAAACATTACATTAAATATTGTATGAACATTATTTATTATTTAACCCTTAAAACAACCTGATGGAGTAGATACAATTATTTACATTATTTGTACAAGAAAAACATAAATGTAGAGAGGCTACATATGTTTTCCTTGGTCACACAGTTACTAAGGGACAGGGCCAGAATCTTCATACCATAAATGTATGATTTAAAAATTCTTCTCTATCCACTACATTATGCTGCTTTCAAAAATACTGAGGCCCAAGATATTGTTTCCAAATATAGTAGGCTACCTTTCATCAGATCAGCTATTAGTCTGAGAACAACTTGAGCTGAATTTTTGAAAAAATTTTTGAAAGTATTAGAGTGTTATGAAGACAGCAAGAACTTGATTGACAATAAGCAAATCCCAAAAACATCATTTGGTTATTTTCCCCTTGAGGTATTTCCTGAATTGTAAGCAACAGCTTATGGGCTAAGAGGCTGACCGGAGGTTTAGGCATCCATTAAGGCTAGGAAAATAAAACTTTGAGTTCAGGATTCACTAAGAAAGATTGTTCCTAGTAAACACTACAGGATTTTAGCTGAGATCTCAAAAGAGCTTTATCCTAGGAGTATAGGAAAACTGTGAACAGATCAGCCCTTGCAAAGACTAAAGCCTAGCTTTGAATCAATAAAAAATAACTCAAAAGTTTGCAGGGGAAAAAAAATCAAGAGAAGAAAATAGACAACAGAAAATGATCCACAGGAAGTTCAAATATTGGAGTTATCAGACACAGACTTTAAAATAACCAACATGTTCAAAAATTTAAATGATGAGAGTGTTTCAGAATAAAACTGAAAATTATACAAAGGATCAGCTGTAAACTCTAGGATCTAAAAAGTCAATAACAAATAAAAATCTAAATAAATGAGTTTAACAGAAGATTAGACATAGCTCAAAGGAGCATTCATAATCTGGAAGATAGATCAGAAGACTATAACCAGTCTAAAGCATGGAGAGAAAGAGAGAATAAGAAATACATAGCACAATAAAAAGTCTGGCATATCTATGATTAGATCCCAAGAAAAGAGAGAAAGAATGTAAGAAGCAATATTTGAAAGAAACTTTCCAAAACTCTTAAAAGACACCAAATCACCTATGTTAGAAGTACTGCAAACTCCAAAAGGATAAATACAAAGAAAGCCACATCAAGGCACATCATAGTAAAATTGATAAAAACCAAAGACAAAAAGAAAATTACAAGAAAATAATAAATAATACTATCAAGGATGTAACAAGACTGATAGCTGACTTTTCAACAGAAACCATGGAACTTATAAAACAATAGAAAGATATTTATGAACAGCAAAATAGCAAATATCTGCCAACCCAGTCAAAAGATTATTTAAAATGAGAAAAAGATAGATACTTCAAGCAAACAAAAATTGAGAGATTTTATTACCATTAGGCTCATATTAAAGGAACTACTAATGGGAATTATTAAGACAAAAGGAAAGTGATGCCACATAATGACACATTTCTGTGCAGAAAGAAATGAAAAGCAACAGAAAAGGTAAATATATGAGTAAATATAAATGAGCCTTGACTGCATAAAATGAAATAATGTCTTATGGGATTTAAAATACTACTATTTGCTCCGCATAATAGTGTGGAATCATAAAATTGTACAGACTGAAACTGTATCAAGAAATCTTAACAATCAATAAGAAAAATTGTGTTGTGACTTCTAAAAGCTTTTATAAAAACATTAAAATTTATTAGTTATAAATGGAAAGGAAAAGTAATAAAACTAATATTTCACATACTGTAATTTAAAACATTATAAACACTTAGAAGTAGCATGCTTTATTTCTTTGTAAAAACTTATCAAGAGTAGCTTAGACAGTGCTTGCCCTTTTATCTTTATGATATAAGATACAAGAGAATATCTTTTCAATATTATGGCAAATTGTCATACTTCTTTTTAAGTCTAGATTATCTTCCACTATTTTATCCTTTGCTTATAAATATTATTAAATATTTTCAAGTGTTTCTTTAATGTAAATTTTTTTACCATCATTATTTCTTTTGAGACATCTTCATCCTTTGCAACCACTTTTCTCCCATCATCAAGTTCCTTTAATTAAATATCTAGAGTTTCTCAGCCAGCCTGGACAACACAGTGAGATCCTGTCTCTACCCAAAAAAAAAAAAAAAAAAAAGCTGGGCATGGTAGTGCACACCTCCCAGCTACATGGGAGGCTGAAGTAAGAGGATTAATTGAGCCCAGGTATTCAAGGCTGCAGTGAGCTATCATCATACCACTGCACTCCAGCATAGGTGACAGAGCAAGACCCTGTCTCTAAAATAAATAAGTAATCTCAGATGGTGGTGGTATCAACATTCCCATACAAGTTATTTCTTCTATAACTCCATTTATATTTTGTTTGAATTTCCCTTTTGGTAACATGACTTTTCATTTCTTTGCTTTTTCATCTTTATTGGTCAATTCACTCTTTAGCCATTTTTAGGAGATGTCATATGAGTTGATTACTGGGAAAAACATATGGAACGCAACTACATGCTTTATTGTTTGCGAATGAACTGAGCAAAAGATGCCCAGTGAGCACCATCAAAGACTTTGAAAGAAGCAATGCAGTTAGTCACCTCTTACGATGTGCACCTGTTATTTACATAGTGATTTGTGGACTGAAGGGCTGGCAACAATGTTTGCACTTTATTCAATGATTAATAGTTAATATACTGTAGTAACTGAAACTTGAAGGATGTTGAGGACAGTTATTCCTTACATTTAATTAAATCATGATAACTGAACTTCATGTGTTCTGGAGCCATGCAAAGAAGAACTGCTTGTATGCATAGAATTAAAATATGCAATAGGTTTTTTTTTTAAGTAGTAGGACATTATAAATAAAGTGCACTAAAAGTCTTTGAATTATCTAAGAAGTGATAAAAGTACTAACTGAAATTAAACTTTTATAAATCATAAATGTTTTAACTCAAATAGCAGCTACTAAAATGCTTGTAGAACACTGGATAACTAACAGGCTAATAATGGGAAATGGAATTAAAAAGTTAATTAATTAATACAAAAAGAGCAAGAAATTGGAATAAATAGTTTCTGGAATAAATAGTAGATTTAACTCCAAATTATCAGCATTTACATTAACTGCGTTAAATGTAAAAGGACTACTCAAGTATAATATAAAGATTGATTGGTTAATTTTTAATACTCACTGTATGCTGCTTACAGCAGACATTTTAAACATTATACAGAATGGTTGAAAGTGAAAGGATACGAATATATAAAATGCAAATAGTAACTCAGAGAAAACTAATATAAATATACACATACATAAACCATAAAGCCTTACTCTAAGTGGCACTTCATAATGATTAAAGCAATTACTATGTAAGATATAGACATTCTAAATTTAGTGTCTATAAGAGCATAGCTTCAAACCATATAAAGCAGAAACTGGTAAAACTAAAAAGACAAACAATAATTTCCAATCATAGTGAGAGCTTATTTTAATATAGTTTTGTCAATAATTGATATAACAATCATACCAAAATAATAAATATACTGATAAAACTTAATAAAAAGATTTGAAAATAACTTACAAACGATCATATTGACATAAAAAATGTCGTATCTAACAATTGCAGAATATATATTCTTTTCAAGAACACATGGAACATTTACTAAAATTGGCCATATGTGGGGCCATAAAAGCATGTCTCAATAGATTACAAAAAAAATTAAAATCAGAATGTTCTCTAACTAGTAAGTAACCTAACTTCTAAATAACTCCGACATCTAATTAACCACAGGATTAAGAAAGAAATCACAATAGACATTAGAAAATAATTTTAACTAAATGATAATAAAAATACGACATATCAAAACCTGTGGGATGCAGTTAAAGTCATGCTCAGAAGAAAATATATAGCCTTAAGACAACATACAGGTATTGATCGACTTAAGACCTATGCAACTTAAGACCATTCGACTTTACGACCACAATCGCTAGCCAGGACTGCTCCGCGTCTGGCAGCACAAACGTTGCCCAGCTGGGCGTACGACAGTGCAGACCAGCTTCCGGCAGCACTAGCAGCTCCGCGTGCATATAGCCTACTCAACTTAACGACCAAATCGTGTTACGACCGGTCTGTCGGAACCAATCGTGGTTGTAAGTCGAGCACTAGCTGTATATTAGAAAAGAAGACTAAAAATAAATCATTTATG